TATGACAGAGACAGAGAGAGCTACACCCATAGAAAGTGGAATAAATAGTACAGTTTAGTACTATAACTGTGGATTCCACATCCATGAATTCTATCAACATTAGATCCAAAATAACTAAAATGAATTATGTCTGTGCTGAACATGTATGGGCTTTTTTATCATTATTTCCTAGAAGACAGTATAACAATATAAGAACTAGAATTTATATTGCATTGGATATTATAAGTACCATAACTGAGAGAGGATTTTAAGCACAGGAGAATGCTCATTGGTTACATACAGATACTACACCATTTAGCATAATGGATGTGAGCAACTGTGGGCTTGGTGTGTGTGAGAGGAAAAAGGTCTTGACACAAAGCAATCTCTTGTAAGTGTGGAGGGCCCACTGTGCTACTAAAACTCTTGAGGAGACTCAGAGCCTGACCCATTTTCCCCTGGGATGCTCAGTCTCTAATGTTGAGTAAAGGCACCCTGAAGTGGGGGTAGGGTGGACATACTTTCTTATGACCAGCTTTTCTTTGACCAAGCATGGCAGATAATAGTTCACTGACCAATGATCCTAGTTGACCAAGACTAAGGGATTTCTCAGCCTGGAAAAATTTTCATCCACCTTAGACTACACACACCTTAAACTAGACACATACACATATGCACAAAGCACAAAAGACTCTGAAAGGTACCTCAGTACCTCTATGAGGCCAAGTTGGGACACATCTGGACCTTTACAGCCACATACATGGTGCCCCTCTTATCCTGGGGAGAGACCATCACTATTCAACTGCTCTACCCAACAAACTCTTCCAGTGGACGCTGGGCCTGTAGATTCAAACTCTCATGGTCTCTCTACTGGTGGGAGGTATTCCTCGCTATGTAGGAGCCTGACATCTTCTGAGGGTCCTGGGAAAAGCCACAGACCCTGGGTAGGAGGCTGCCACATTCTCAGCACTTCCCAATTAGAGATGTTTCAGACTGACCACCTAGCTTGGGTCAAATTTCATGATGCTTCAGATCCTAAAAACCCTGGCTGTGTATACTATTTTTCCCCTTGAACCCTGTCCAGTACCTTCTCTGAAAGTTTCCATCTTGGCTCTGCTTTATATGAAAGAGATTACACTTGTTTTTACTCTTTGGGAAAGGTGAAAGAGAGAGTAGAGAATGTTTCTTTCAGTTATGTGGAGAAACTGAGGCCCAGAGACATTTGGCATCTTGTTGGAGGTCTTCCCTGGTGATCAGCTGTGTACAGCCAAGGAGGTTGAGGATCATCACCACATTTTTCTCCATGTTGCTCATTCTACATGCCCTGTGAGTGGCCTTGATGGTAGATCACCCATTTTATAGATAAACTCCCCAGAAGCACAAGCACATGCAGTCTCTGGAAGAATATAAGGGTATATCACATTACAAGGGAGAAAGCAAACCTCAAATCAGTCCAAATAGAATATTCAGAATCAACAGGTCACATACCCTCCCTTCACTGTTCTCTGGAAGCTGCCTCTTGGTCAACACTGAGTCAGGTGCTGATAAAAACTAGAGGTCCCAGCCTGCCTCAACCTCCTCAGTGGGCATTGAGGTGGAGATTGAGACTGGGTATGGTGGCACGCACCTGTAATCCCAGCTCTTGGGAGGCTGTAAACAGGAGAATCACTATGAGTCCCATCTAGTAGTGAGACCCTGAACACCCTGTAGACCCTTCCCTAAAATACAGGAAAAAAAAAAGAAAGAAACTAGAGGTCCCTTCTCTCACAGTTTTCCCCTGTCTATTCACATAAACTTGCTGTGCTCACTTCAGCAGCACATATGCTAAAATTGGGACACTACAGAGAAGATTAGCATGGCCCCTGCACAAGGATAGCACTTAAATTCGTGAAGTGTCCACCTAAGCTTGCCGACTTTGACATTATCTGTACCTGCATCTGTTCTCTGCCTGTGCATCACTGTAGTATGTTCTGCTCCTTCAGTCTTCAAAAGGGAGAATCTATAGAACAAACGCATCTTCCTTGGCTAGTATCAATCAATTCTAAGAGCATCATTTCAAGGTCAATTGATGTCCAAAACATTTGTCTATGCCCTTTACATAAACCTCCTTTACACACCAAGGCACAAAAGGAAGAAAACCCTATTTACCCCCATTAAATTAAGCTGATGAGTCTCAGAAAAGGACACTCAACTCTCTAGCTCCCATATCAGAGGACAAGATGTAAAACAGCCCCATCTCCAGGCAGGCCACAGGACCCCCAAATTGTTCAACTCATCCAAAGGTACACTGATTTCTCTGCCACATAGGTGGGTTGGTTCTAGCCAGAACCCGCCCAGTCACCAGTGACGTCAGATTGTTTTGGTTGAGTTCATTCCTGAACCATTAAACAGTTAAGAGCTATCCTGCCCCACTGGCTGCCAGACTCATAAAGGTGGACCCACGTGTACTTCCTTGTGGCTCCAAGACACGCTGGCTCAATCATTTGCCCACACCCAGAGGGAGAGAAGGCAGCAGCAGGCAGCACTGCCACCTCACATGCAAATCAGCCCTGGGAGTGCAGCTGGACTTCTCCTGCTGCTCCCAGGCAATGCTCCTGGGCAGGCCCTGTGAAAGATGCCATCCTGGTCGCTGTGTGCTCATCCTGGTCCTTGGTCTCCTGTGTGACATTGTGGGCCTCATCCTTTTGCTGCTGGGCATCTTTGCCACACTGAATTATTGGGACTTCTTGGTCTATACAGGGGCCCTGTTCCTGGCTTTCAGCCTGCTCTTCTGGGTCTCCTGGTATACCTTCAACATTGAAGTGCCTCTTGACAAACTGGACTTGTAGCTTGGCCATGGACAGAGAAGAGATGCATGTGCTATATGCAGCCATGAACTTGGGGCCAGCAGGCAGCAATGTGCTGCAGTTCCCACCCAGGATGTCCCATGGGGACCAGGTAAGTGCACATAAGTCCTGCCTGGCAGGGTGGCCAAGGGAGGCTGGGACAAGCATACAGGCCAGGATGGAATCGGCAAGCAGCTGGTCTGTACCCCAACTAGGGATTCTGTAAATGTGGGCTGTAGTCAGTGCTGTGCTGAACCAGCCAGGAGAACTTGGAGCAAGTGTTTGTCCTCTGGGAACCACTTTCTTCACAGAGGTCAGAGATGCTTGCAGCCCTTCCACCTCCAAAGCCCCACGAATGATTCTGCTGGTCATCCAGAATGGAAAGGTTTCCCTTTAATTAGGAACTAGAGACACTAGAACCCACTGAGGAGAATCTCTCATGGGGAAAAAACACTTCTGGCAAAAGGAGAGGATGGAAATTTCTCCAGCAGCTGTTTATGCCCTTGCATGCCTGGAGGAGTGAGCACCAGGCTGTGTGGGAGCAAGCAGAGCAGAACCTTCCAGAATGGCCCTTCTTGCTTGCTTCCTCCTGTACCTGCCCAGCTTGGGCACACAAGGAGGGTCAGGCCCTGCCCCCGTGTCCACTTAGCAGTACCCCTGCCCCACCTTCCTCACACACACTATATGCAGCCAACACACATGCCTGGACCAGCCTCAGAGATCCAGAAGTCGACAGACCATGGATTTCTGGCTTTCATCTGCCAAGCTGTGTCACAGCCTGATGAGCAGCTCATTACCTGACAAAGAAGAAAATAGATGTAATATATCTTCAACAGAGATAGTGTCCAGAAGATAGTACTGGTCAGGCCCTTATAACTCTGAATTGGAGACGGGCAGTGTCCCCAGGGAACTGCAATTGGAGCTTCAGTTATTTTGATTACCATTTCCTCTTCCCCGTTGGGCTGGGACCCGCACTCAGGTGCAGCCGGGCACTCCCTTTTGATTAGGAGATGTGAAAGCAAAGGTCACCGCTGAATGGGAAGAAGGAAATAATGGCTGTACTTTCTACGGGAGGTTATCTCTCTTAGCACTCAGAGTAAAGAGCAGCACATGGAGGAGGTCTCCGTGGAGTGCCTGGTGGGTGATGAGGAAAGACATGGGACAACAGAATACCTGGCAGCCGCTCTGAGCTCCCACAGCTAACCAGCTGCATCACACTGTGAGCTTCAGTATTCTCACCTCTAAAGGGAGGGTAGTATTGTGTGCCTTTCTTAGAAGGACCAGCGAGGGGTAAGGCAGGAAAAGACTCTTTGCGAATGATGTGATTCCCACAAACATCAAGTGTTGTTATTAAACATGTGGTCTGAGGTGAGTACGCTGAACCAGAATCTAATTTAAGAATACTTGAGGTCCCAGAAGTTAGTAATGGAGGAGGTCAGCTCACACTGTGCATTATGAAATTTCAAAGCAAAGACTGTCACCCCATTTGTATGCTGTTTCATTGACATAGGCCAGCTAATGTGTAAGGCCCTGGGGGTGCCAAGACAAATGAGGGCTCTGCTCTCAGGGAGTTCACTACCAGGTGAGAACAACAGACCTCAGCCAGATAGTCGCATTCAGAGCAGTGTAACAACAAGTCAGGTGAGGGCCAGGGAGGAAAGAATCATCAAGCCATAAGAACATTCAATACCTAAATGGACCCAGAAGGTAGTAACATCAGGCTGACCACCCAGAAGAGTACGACTGGAAAATCTGTAGGCAGATGTCTTAGCTGTAGGTCCTGAAGCAGGGAGACAGAAAGGCAGAGGTCAAATGTTAGAGAGGGTTAGGCCCTGTGGTATGACAGGCTGAATCTGCCAGAGCCTTGAGGTGCCCCCGAGGATGTTGGCTATCTATAACTCTAGGGACAATAAGAAGCCATTAACTTACACATGCCCAGATGGTACACACGCAGATATGAGCATGGGTGCAGTTTGACATGACTGAACCTGTGTGTACAAAAGACCACAGTGCAGATGGTGACTATGCCTAGTGCCACCAGTTGAGGAGCTGAGACCCATGGCCAGTGTGAGGGTCCTTGCCTTGCTCCCTCAGCCAACAGATGTTCAACAGTTCATCAGTAACGACTGTGGGTCAAGTTCCAAAGAGTCAATGATCTGAATCCAGTTTAGTTTTTTTCTAGCTATGTAACCTAAGGGGCAAGTTACTTCACCTCTCCATGCCTTGGTTACCAAATTTGCTAAGTGGAGATAATGTGATTAATAATAGTCCCTACCTCCTAAGGATGCTGCTCAGATTAAGTAAATTGTTATCTGTTTAAAACAATGGCTCACGAAAGCAAAGGACACATGGTTAAACCTTGGTCACAATGCAGAAAGCTGGCTTGGGGAAGAAGAGGAGACCTTGAGCCATTCTTACCAATTCCTGAAGCAGCATATGTGGTATTAAGGTTTTTCAATAAGAGTGACAGTGTGTGCTCCCCCAAAAGGCCAGGTTTCTACTCAGGCTTAGCACAGCGTTAGAAGTTGGAAGGTCCATTGCAACTTCATTGAACAGAGCCCTGCAAATATCACCTTCCTTGTTTTGCTCCCTGATCTCCAAGTTGGGGGAGAGATCCCACAGCCAGCTCTCCTGCTGATTCAGCCTCCTTCGGTCCCTCCACACCCTGAAGGATCTCAGGGCTGGCCCAGAGTGACAATGTGGCTGAGACCTGCCATTCAACAGGCTGCTCATTTATGGGGCAGCACCCCAAACCACATGTGACCTTGGACAATTCAGCTACTTCCCTTTGCAATGAGACTTTTGGTCATCATGGAAGGGAAGTCCCAAAGTGGCAGGGCCAAGAGGATGGGGTCAGGGTATGGTGAAGGGCAGCACTCCAGCAGCCTCCCCCTCCCCACCACCCTCCTCCAGTTTCCCAGAACAGCTACACTTTTAGCAGTTTTATGCATTGAATTCACATGTAAGGCTTTTTGTGAATGGAAGCCCCTGATACTGAAAACCACTGTTCACAAACAGCTAGTGTCAATTCTCTTAAATTCCATGACCTTCGGCCAGGGTATAATCACAAGTCGTATTTATGATTTATGGGCAGGTAGTAACTGGCTTTTCCAGTTCTTCCATTCTCAAAATGGGATAAAAGCAGAGCATGTGGACTCCTCAGTTCAGAGTTGATGCCACCATGCATTATGTCCTTCAAGGGTTGAGAAAGCTGAGGTTCATAGGCCCTACCCTGCTCAGTCCCTGACATAAGGAGGTCACGATCCTGGTCTGGACAGAACAGAGCCTCCTCCTTGTAAGTTCTCTGGAAATGACAGCAGAGCAGCAGGCAATCAAACCTCACAGGCTGCCCAGATGCTTAAGAGTGGCTCATTTCTAGACCTGACTGGGTCCCATGCATGACATTTGCCCCTTGATTTTATCACTTAGCTGTATTTTCAAAGTCATTTGCACATTTTCTACTTAGGCTTTTCCCATAGATAAGTCAGGTGTGGATTCTTTTCTGTTCTTTTACAACAGGATGTCTAAGACTATATACCCAACAAAACATTCACACCCTCACATATGCCTACTTTCCTTATTGCTCTCTTACGCACCCAACACACCCAACAATACACACACACACACATACACACACACACACACACACACACACACCTCGGTCTCCTCCTTCAGCTTATTAACACAAGAGCACTCTATATGCATACACTGCTGGTACATACATACACACACCAGCATAGCACCCCACACATCTACATCAACCTAATCACACCCACAGCACCCCATGTACATACACTCGACCCCCCTCACATCTGCTGCATGCCCACCTGGAAACATACTCTTAACATAAACAAGCACATTCAGAAACCAAAGTCAAAAGCATGGGAAGCTTACTCCCAACCAGAGCCCTGGAAAGTGAAACTGGTTCCTCTGCACTGGCTTTTTCCAACACAGACTCTGCCCATGGAGGAGGCAGGAAGCTGCCAGGTCTGCCCAGAGGTGAGCAGGCTAAAGGTCCTGCACCCACTCAACAAGCTCATGGCCCAGGCAGACACAGTGCTGGGACCAGGTGAAAAATTTGTCAAATCTGTCTGGGGATTTTTAATCAAGAGGGAGAGAGAACACAAACACACAATACTTCACAGAAGTACACAGGAAAAAGTATTCCAGGACATAAAGTCCTGAGCTAGGACGGGGCACAGAACCTCTAGGAAAGTTAAGGGGCCATATGTCTGAACAGAGCAGTTTTAAATATCAGGCCTGGCTTCTAGGAGATGGATTGGAGACATGATTGTGAATGAAATCGCTTAAAGGTGGAAGTTGCCAAGCTGCCTCTTGGTCAACACTGAGTCCGCTGCTGGTAGAAACTAGCGGTCCCCACCTGCTTGACTGCCCCGCTCCTGGGGCACACTGAGATGGCAATTGAGATTGGGCATGGTGGCACGCACCTGTAATCCCAGAACTTGGGAGGCTGTAATCAGGAGAATCACTGAGTCCAATCTAGTAGTGAGAATCTGAACACCCTGTAGACTCTTCCCTAAAATAAGTGGGGGGAAGAGGTCGGGGTGAGGGATCCAGGCAAGGGAAAGGCTGCCAAAATGGAAGGCTTGGTGAGTTCAGAAAAGGTTTAGCAAACACATTGGATTTGGGGTTCAGGGCCTTCAGTGTTGACCACATAGGACTTTGAATGCCAGGTAAATATTTTTTATGAGGATGGAGGAGTCTTCAATGACATTACAGACTGGAGAGTGGCATGAGTCCACTCTGCTTAAGAAAAGGTAATTTGGTGTCATGAGTGACAGGTTATGGCCTGAGTACAGACTGCTAAATTGTCATGGCCCTGATCCAACATGGCTGAATCCCCAAAACAACAGTTTATCTTCCCAACAACCATTTCCTCCTTCTTCTCCACTCCAGCCCTGGATACAACTTCCTTTTCCTTTCCCATCCACACAAGGGAGCCTCCAATCAGCTCCCTGTGTGTCACTGAACCTGCCCTTCGAACTCTGCCCCTGCCCCTAGAAAAAGTCTATAAAGTCTCATCCTCCCTGTCTCAGGTCCCAGGATCTTCCCATCTCCCTGCCCTCCATCCTTTCCATGTCTTCAGAGTTAATAAAGGCTCCCCCCACCCCCTTATTTCTGCTTCTCTGCTGCGCTGCTGCCATCGCCACCACCATCGCTGCTGCCTATAAAACCGATCAGTGAGCACAGCGGGTTAATGAGGAGAACCCAGCGATATAGACACAATATTCAAAAACATCGGGTGTTAGTAGTAAGTACCATAGCTGGAATGATGGCCATGAATTGAGGGGAGGATGCAGGAGGGCAGAGCCGGCTGAGAGAGAAGTCTGTCCCAGTCTCCTCCAGGAGGAAAGCAGTATCAAAGACCTGCATGGCATGAGGAGATCAGAAGCCATATTTGGTTAAATGATGCACACTCTTGAACATAAAGAGCTGTAGACACAAATGGTGCAGAACCACTGACTGTCCTCAAATGTGTGTGTGTTTGGCTTTTGTTTTGTGATAAGAGACACTGAACCCAGAACCTATGCACAGAGCTATATCCCAGCACCCTCCCACCCCCTTAAATTTTATTTAGATCTTTCTAAATTACTAAATCACCCAGGCTGGGCTCAAACTTTCAATCTTCCCACCTCAGCTTTCCAGAGCGCTGAGGGATTCCAGGTGTTCATCACTGTGCCCAAATTGGAATGTGTAGACTTTTAACTCAGAAGAGAGATCAGACATGGAGATAGAAGTAGGACTAGAGATGTGATTGTGAATGAGTTTATAGAAGGCAGGGAAGGATTCAGGTATTTTGAGAGCAGAGAGATGAACCAAAAGAGAAGAGGGGAAAAAAAGGAAAACTAACTTTCACTGAACTAAGCCCGAGGGCACTGCACTTCATCTCAATTATCTCGCTTCCCCTGTAAACAACACCCTGAGGAAAGTATCATCACCTTCATCACCACTATAATTATTCTCCTTTCACAGATAAGGATCATAGGGAGCAGGGAGGTGAAGTAATTTGACCAGACTGTCAGAGGAAGATGTCTAATACATCTGCTTCGTGCTCATTCTTTTTCCACTACACACCATGGGCCATAGGGCCCATAGCCCAATTGGACCCACCTCCTTTTTCATAAGCAAAGTTGTACTGACACCCAGCCAGTTCATTGGCGGACGTATTTACCATGGCTGCTTCATGCTATCATGGCACCACTGAGTAATTGCAACAGAGGTTGTGAAGCCCTGCAAAGAGTGTTATACTGACTGTGTGGCCCTTTAGGCAAAATGTTGGCCAACTCCTAGCCTGCCCATGGCCTATATTTGGGAAATGCAGGGAAGAAGATATTGTGGAAAGCCTAAGTCAAAATTCCTAATAATAATATGGGAGTGATACTGTGAAGGGGAGAAAGAGGACAAAGAACCTTAAGATCCTATTAAGATTGGGGAAAGGACCTTCGAATGCCTTTAAGAAGTTGAAACCTACAGAAGGATGACGAGTCTTGGCAATGAGCCTATATCAATAGGTGGGGGAAGATCAGATCAGTGCTACTTATAGAGCGACTGGTAGAGGTGCAAAGAGCAGGTGCAGAGGAGACCTTCAAGTGTTTGGTGTCCATATTAGGGAGGCAGAGCTGTTGCCTGATGGAATATCCAGTTTGAGGTGTTTTTAGAGAAAGAGATAAAAATAAATTAATTAAAACAAAACCCGGAGCAGAATGGTAAATGGAAGAGAGGAATGCAGAAGACAGATAAAGAGGACAAGTACATGATAAAAGAAGATAGGACCACTGACTGAGTGCCAGGTGGGGATAGAGGGAAAGATCTCCATCCCAGCAAAAGCATGAATTTGCCTGCAAGGAAGGGTGGGGAGAACATACCACAGAGAGTACTCAGCCAGTCACTTATTTTCATGAGCTCATTCATGGCTTACAACTCCTGAGTTAGAGATTCAAGCCCCACTTTACAGGGTGAGGTGTGAGACTGGGCCTCTGTCTCAGGGCTCCTCCAAGGGAGGCACACTATTGGAGGGCAGCACCAGGATCCAATCCTAATTCCAGCTACCTCAAGAACCATGCTTGTCCCACCACAGTCAAGCTTGCAGTGATGAATCTGGGTCTTGGCTGCTGCATTTCATGTTCATTTACTCAATGCAGATCCTGTCTGATGGAGATGGAAGACAAGATGCTCCCTCTTTGCAGCATATCCTCTGACAATATCCAGGAGGAGCAGGAGGCTGAAGTGCCACAGTTTTTGGAGCACGCGCAAGGATGATGCAAATGTCTATGAATGCCATACTCCACCTAGAGCCAGAAGCACTCTGCCAGGCCGCCGCCATCGCTGCTGCTGCTCCAGCTGTTGGTGGAGAGCCTGAGAAGCTGTGAAGTCTTCCTGGTGTGATTTTTTACAGCAGCATCGCTGCTGTGGGCTTAGATGCCAGGAGAGAAATCCTGTCTCTGCTGCTTTACTAGTCAATGTCCTTTTAAAAATACCTGACAATTGGAACAGAGCTCAAAAGTCCAAGTAGGATCCCCTGTAAGTATGTGTTCCCTAATAATGATGCAATTTGTCTCACTGGTCTGACAGACTCTGTGAGACCCTGGAGGGCCCCACCCTGCCCACACCGTCCAGTGCCATGTGGTATCATATTCCAATATGCTCGTTTGCCATGAGAGTGCACAACCGATGCTGTGTGTGAGACGGCTCTCTCCTCCTCAGTGGGGCACGGGAGCACTCTGCCTGCAGCCCTCCCCGTTCTCACAGCCAGGCCCATCAGTGGCTCATATTGAGCTTTAAGTCAAATGAAACTCCCTGAGCAATTTTCTGACTGGCAAGCTCAGTCTCCATTGTGTTGTGTGTGTCATTCACTTTATGACCTTAAAAGCAAAGACTTAATTTTTAGCTAAAATCTCATGTGGCCAAGTGCAGCCCAACTACAGCCACTTGGAGGGTCAGCATTCCTAGGTTGATCTAACACATATGTTCTGCTTTGCCACCCAGTCTTGACCTGCCCCACTAACTTATAATTCTCCAAGTCTAATTTTGTATTTTGTATTTATATCACCACCCCTTAAAATGTGCTTTGTTTCCTGTAAACTGCCTCAGAGCTTTTATGTTATGAGGCAGTTAACTAAATAAAGAAGTGAATTTGGACCTCTGTTTCCTGATGACAATGTAATTCTGAGTCTGTGTGATTTCATGTCAGTTCTCAAAACCGCAGGTTGAAGGTGTTATTTTACTATTCGCTAAACCTGTTGTGTAAATCCTGAAATTCTAATTCATAGAGCATAGTGGGGTGGAAGCAGAACCTAGATTACCCCAGGGCTGTGCAGTCTTCTACCATCTCTTTCCTCAGCCACCAGCCCGGCTCCTCAGAGTTAGGATGGACTCAGAAATCTGAAACTATTTCAGGGAAGAACATTCAAGTTAAGGCACTGAAAGATTCCTCTTCTCTTCAGAACCTTCCGTGACTATGTCCACACATACTTCTATTGATCATCCCAATTGTCCAATTTTTTGTGTGTCTGCACTGACTATACCACAAGAGGTCATCTTCTCTTACTTGGGATTCTGAAATAAACATAGAAGGAAACACTATAATTAATCAAAATCAGAGGCTGGGGAGATAGCTCAGTGGTCTAAGTGCCTGCCTGGCAACCAAAACGACCAAAGTTCAATCCCTGGTACCGCATGCTGTGTCGACCCCGGAACTCCAAGAATGCCATGCTGGTCCCTGAATCTGGGCATGGTGACACACACCTATAATCCCAGCACTGGGGAGGCTAAGACAGGAGGATCACTACAAGTCTGAACTGCTTGGAAAGACCCGATAATAAATAAAAATAAATAAATAAATGTAACAGAATGTATACCAAAATAACAATAATAATAATAATGAAACTCACCCTGCCTTCAGAAGACACTGCATTAAAGGCTTCATAACTTTTTTTCATAAAAATCAGTTAAGTGTTTTGTTTTGCTTTGTTTTTTTCAATTCTAAAAATGAAGTTGTTTTCTTGTTCTTTGGCTGGATACCAAATGCCATCGTTGGCTTTCACTTAACAGAAGCTACATTATTCAAAATATGCAAATCTTGAAAAAATAGGAGCACACTCAACACAGAACATATGTTAGCATCTAAAAAAGATTGAAGGAGCTGAGACTGGCCAAGGTAGCTGATTCCCACCTCACACAACACACTCACTCCAGGGAATTTCTCCCTTTATTTACTTCTTTGCTTGCTCTCTCTCCCTCCTGTGTCTTTACTGTACCACTTAGAGGCAGTGAAATGCATCCATGATGATCCTCCATCATGGTTTTGTTTTGTGTTGGTTTTGTTTTGTTTTGTTTTGTTTTGTTTTTTTGAGGACATGTTTGACTCCTAAATTTTCTCCCACATTAGATGTGCTCTTGCAAGATGGAGCATCCAACCAGCCCTTTAGAAAGTGGAGGTAAAGTAAATATCTGATAACAGGATAGGAAGTGAATTAAATTGAATTCCAACTGACTGCTTACTAGCCATTGGATTTGTTCTCAGGAAGAAAAGAGAAGTCCACAGAGAAGAGGCTTCTGGAATTTAGCCTTGGCTACTCTGAAGCCACCTTTAAAAAGCTGGTACTGAGAAGGCACACGCAGACAGCACACAAGGAAATCAGAGGGCAAACCTGTGAGATGAGGCTCAGTCCACAACTGCTTAATTACAGAACCACTACTGAGACTCCTTAGGGTACAGAATTAGAAACAAAAGCCTACAAGACAATCTTAGCAGTCATGGAGCTGTGCTCCTCCCACTATATGCAAATCTCTTGTATATTTTATTGAATGTAAATTCTGATTCAATTGGTCTGGAGGGGCTCTGAGATGCTGCCTTTCTAACAAGCTCAAAGACGAGGCTGGCACTGGTACCTGGAATCTATGAAGATCTTCAAAGTTCTGCAAAGATCTTCAGCAACCCAGTCACTTCAGAAACTGAGAAACTGAAGCCTGCAGATGAAGTGGCTTTTGCGAGCTCAAGTAGTTGAAAGCACCACATCCAGGTCTGGAGCCCAAGTCTTCATTCCACTCCAGAAACAGCTGACTAGCACATCCCAAGCCTTGCAGAGCCTCAGGCAGAACAAGCAAGCCAACAGTGCACTGGCTGAGGGAAATGAGGCATGCTCATGCGGCAAGTGAGTCACGTAGCTTTACACCTCAGGCATCAACCTGGCTGTGCTGCATGCCAGGGAATGAGCAGGACTCCACGCTGCTCCGCGTCACTCCAGATGCCAGAGAGTTGAGTGGGCACCATCATGCAGGCAGGGCTTGGAAAGGGATGAAGAGATGGGTGGGGCCCACTACACTGGGCCACCTCTGATGTGGACTTGTCCTCCCAGATGGTTTTCCAAGAAGCTGGTGATGGTGACTCCTACTGCTCCTCAGGCCCATCTCTCCAGCCCTTCTTCCTATTGGCTCCCTAGAGAGACATGGGATTTTCTGCTTACCTGAACTCAACCTACCTTGCCTCTTGCAAGCTGAGTGGCCTTGTAGGTGGTCCTCATTTGTGAAGAGATGCTAATAATCACATGAGTGTCAAGTGCAATTTAGCACTGACTTTTAGAGACCTCTGAAACATCCTCAACTGGAAAACAACTTAGGACACCCCACCTTCCCTATGCAGAAATCAAAACATATAGCTGTAAATCTTAAATCATTTCATCAGGCTCATCATGATTCTAGAACTGTAGGACCTGTCATTTTAAAAGCTATGCAGAAGAAAGCCTGTCACTAACAATTAAATCTGTACATAACCTCATTCCCAAGATTTATTGCAGATAGGACTAATGGGGACCCAAAAAGCCCAGAGGAAATGGGGATTCCACCCCCAACCAACAGCCTCAAAGCCCCTCAAATTTAACCCATCTCTCAGGGAAGTTACAGTATGGGAACAGAAGGGGACCTTACTATGGTTGGATCACAAACTGAGTCCATCATGATTGAGGTAGTCTCAGAAATATATCTGCATAAAAGGCAAAAGAGCCTCATGGGTAAAAGCTAACCTAAGGGTAAAGGGAGTTAGGCAGACAAGTTTGTCCCAGGTAAAGAGATTTTCTGCAGGAATGTTCAGCTTCTTGCATCTATCAAAAATCCATATTGTTCTCAAGAAAGAAGGGCTGTACAAAGGATTAGACCAGCTTTGGGGAAGAAAAAGAAAATCCGTAACTCTGGCATCTGCATTAGCATAGACTTGGGTTACGTCAGGTCCTGGTAGCTGCGCTGATCATCTGGAAGAAAGATGAAGCAGTAGGTGTCAACTCACAGCAAACTGAAATGGTTTGTGAGTCAAATAGGATGTTCTAAGACTCCCTCCCAGAAGTTCCTTCATCTCACACAAGAGAGATGAAGACTAGCCAGAAAAGCAAGGGTGACAGGCACAGCCACCTGTCCCTTTGGGGGAGAGGCTTGGGATAAAAGGCTCAGAATGCCAAATATGAGTGAGGATGCAAAAGCTTTGTTCTCTCTCTCTCTCTCTCTCTCTCTCTCTCTCTCTCTCTCTCTCTCTTCTCTGGCTTATTTTCAGACAGAGTCTCTTTATGTAGTTCAAGCTGGACTTGAACTCACTGTGTCACCCAGGTTTTCCTCCAACTGGCAGTGATCCTCCTGCCTCAGCCTCCTGAGTACTGGGTAGGAAAGTGCTTTTCTTAAAACAAAGGGAAGTCCAATGGTGATTGTCTCCGACTCTACAAAAACAATTCAGCCACATGATCACATTCATTCCTTTATGCAACAAGTAGTCACCCCTGGCCTCATCCCTAGCCCCTGGTGGGAGATCCTTTACATTTGAGTCTGGTAGCTTCCAGGAAAGGGAGTGGGTATTAGGATACAGGTGATGGCACTGGGCTGTCCATGTCACTGGGCTGCCTGCCACACAACTTCCACAGTCAGCATGAGGAGAAATGATTAGCACATAGGCATTTTTCACTATTTTTATAAGTTAGCTACTTGGTCACTGAATTTGGCCTGACCCTGCTTCCCAAGTACACACAGCCAGTTTAGAATTATCTCTATTTCTATTTCATTTCTTCTTGGCTTCTCTTTCTCCAAACTGGCAACTCCTGTACTAGCCCAACACTGGAAGACAATAGCTTTCCTTTCACCCCACTTCCTTTCCAGCCCAAGCCATAGGCCTATTCCAATGAAAAGCACAGAGACCTCCAGACTGAATTTACTAAGGCATGGCCCTGACATGAGGTCTTAGGTCAGCTGTCTTCTTACTCCTGGCCCTGTCTTTCTGACGGGTCATCCTTACCACCATCAGTCTTGAACCCTCTGATCATTCTTCCTCAAGTCCCTGTGTAGCTTCCTAGCTGCAGCTATTTGGAGCCCAGTGACCCAGCACCCAGCTCTAGGCCTTCTGCGACTGCCAGAAAATGAGAATGCTGTGGTTTT